CTTTATAGCATGACCTTCGATCACAGCGTGACTGTGTCTTTTGTGCTGTACATTTTTGAGCCCCAGCTAAAAGCTTTCCAGGCTCCTTTGAGGAAATAGATTTGGTCATGGAGAGAAGAGAGTGACACAGAAAGGCAATCTATACTGTCGGATCTGCAATCTTTTCCTCTTTCTCCCTCTCATAGTTTCTCTTATTCCGGTAGAAATGGTGAAAGAAAACCGCAGAATTTTCTTTAGAATCCCTCATTGGACAACTATCTCTCATACATGGCTGAATGAGTGTAGAAGAGTAGAGAGATATTTTATTATGTAGGTAGGAACTGTATGCATCGCTAAGGTTAATTTAAATTGGCTATGCTCAAGTATGTAGACAAGCTAACGTCGAAGTAGTGTATGTGAAATCAACCTCACAATAAGATGTGTGTATATTACAATTATTAATGTCATATTTCAAGATGATTACTTAGATATTACAATATGGTTGGTTGAGCTGGAGTTCATTATTGAGCTTACACATTAACGTCACAGTCATCTGAAGAACGAACCCAAACGTTGTTGTTTTTATTAATTGCATTACCAAATTGGTATCAAATAAACAGTAACACAACAGCATTGGTAACACAACTTCCAAAGTTACAGTAAAATAAAAAGAACCCTGACTCGGACAATACACAATCCAACATGTTCAACAGAAGAGAATAAGTTATATTGTTTGTACACATGGTTCTTTACATATATATCTGTTTGTTTAAAGTTTCCAGGTGATGCAGACAGGATGGACCAGAGAGTGAGAGACAGAACTGGACTCCTCACAGCAGTGAACTTCAGCACAGGTACAAATACTCTTTTTTCATACTGTACAAAGAATCAAGAAAGATATTGGTTTAAATAAATGAAGTATTGACTTTAATACACTGATATACATTCCATTAAACAATACTAAATACTAGATCACCTACACATCAGTGAAGTTGAGGGTTTTTTCCATGCAAAGGGTTACATTTAGATGTTAACAAGCAATATGACTGTCAGCTTTCTAATTTAAGGTATTGAAGGCAAAGCTATTAGTGACAACTGCTATTTATCTCTCAATATTGTCTGTAAAAAACGTGGTAAAAGTTATGATTTCAGTGAGAGAACAGAGCAAGCTTCTACAGTTGCACTAAGTTTTGATAACAGTTAAATATTATTTTGATAATAAAATATATTTCAATGTTGATGAATGTCATACTGTTCATTCATAATCTGATTGTCTTTGTAGCTCACTGTTGAAATAAAATAAAACATTACAATTACAAAATAATTATATCTACACAGCCCCTAAACACAAGCACACCTCTTTCATAAATAACACACTTGTTCTGCAATAATATGTTTTATGTTTCCTGTAATTTTTGTTAGGAAAGGACATGCCTGAAAGACACGACTCAACATTTTCTCCTTCTCTGAGGGTCAAGAAGAACATCCAAGAGGAAAATGAAAAGCTGATGTTATGAGATTTTAAGACCAGTACAGGACATTCACTAAGAAACTACTTTTATTGTGAAGTCAGCTGATCGAATGCACCTATTTCCACATCTACACTCCATCAGCTGATTAATTCTATTTGCCTCACTTTATGAGCTTCACAACATGTACCTTGTACCGCAGAGTTTGCAACGCAAATAAATGGGGCCAATCTTCAGTCGGATGTGAATGTGTAATCTAACATTTTCAGTAAGAATAATGGACAAAAGGAGTGCAAATACAAATTCAATTTATTGAAATCTGAACCAAAAGTTAATCAAACATGTTTTAAATAAAAAAGCACATATGGACAGAAGGTGTAAACCTATTAAATGTATAAGTAAACACATTTAGTCAAATAAAGTGACAGACAAGGCCTGTGCAGTTGGTATCAGCTATGCCCAGCATGGGCTCCTCCATCAGGCCTGGTCCTTCTCGCAGAGGAACGACCCTCAGTCCTCTCCAAATCACACTGAGGTTTCTCCCTGAAGTCTCTGCAGCTCTCTGGACACCACGCTGTCTCAATCCGTCCACACTGAATATGAGAGGGGAAAATGAAAATAATAAATGCTTTAGACAATAAGAAATATAAAGTTGACTGTTGAGTTGCTCAGTTTTTTTAGATTGTCAATACTATTACTGTATAACTAATATCCCAGGTTAAGAGGCACCTTCAAATAAAGATTGGTCTTTAAATACATTTTGTCTTTTGAATTGTTTGTCTAAAGTCAAGGATCTAGAACTGGTACTTATAGTTTTAATGATACAGTCTGGTTATAATGCTGTTTGGAGGAGGCCTCACAGGTAAGAGCACTAACTAGCTACCATCACATGCACCTTAGCTTAACTTAAATGTATTAAACGTATAATTAAGTGATAGCAAAATATAAATAACTAATGTCCATGATTCCAGTGTTGCATTTAGCACATTGCATACAAACGTTAAGGGATTTTAAGATTCTGAAGTATTATGCTAAAAACTCAATAACTTAGATTATTATTTATAGTTTTGCTGAATAGTTTCATGTCCGCTTACCTTAGAAACGTAAAATGTGACAGCAGTGTGCTGATGGGGAAGCATGTTAGCTTAGCTTCTTAGCTTGAGCTAGCTCTGTTACTTCCCAGCTGGAGGCAGAAGGTCCCGCCTCGGCTCCGCCTCTTTGCCCTTATTTGGAGCAGGCGGGAGTTAGACTCAGACGTCACTGTCGAGCCGTTAGTGGCCGACTCCGCCTACTAAGGGCTTCTCGGCAACTCTGCAGAATCCTATGGGTGACGTCACGGACCCTACGTCCATTTATATATACAGTCTATGGTTTTAATCTAGCCTTTTTTAATAGATTTGAATGTGTTATAGCATCCTTCTTATCTTTTTTAATTAATCTTAACATATTTTGTCACTGTTTAAAACAAGTTCATTTCATTCATTTAAAAGTAATTAGAAAAAATTATGTACCATTTAATTACCACATACTGTCCTGTCTGCGCATGTGCATACACAAGCAGACCGCCACTTTTCCCTCCATTTTCCATTCGAAATCGGAAGGACAGGACTGCCTGCGTAGCTCCGTGAGGTGAACGTTCTCCACGGCTCTCCGTTTTAAGTAAGTAGGCTAGCTAATGTATAGCATTGGGTGTATTATATTATACTTAAATAGGTAGCTTAATAGCTAACATTAACGCTATAGACTGTGTGTTTTGCAGCTAGCTAACTGTTAGCCTACTGTTAACCTAGCTTAGTTGTGTAGTAATGTTTAAGTAACCTAAATGAAGTGTAACATGCATCATTAACATTATAAGATAACTTAATACTGCTCTCAAGTTAAATACGTGTTAAATTCAATCTTTGTCTTGTTAGACTTTCTTATTAGTTGTTGGCTAATACAAGTTGAATGTTAACTGCCTGTTCCATATGGCTTTTTTTTTTTGTAGCTTCAACTTCCCCGCTGCCCCGGCTTGTATACTGGCCATGCTGTCTTCCTGACCGACTGTAAGTATGTTTTTGTTTTTTTATTCTTATCACTGTGGTAATATTAGGACACAATTAAACATGAAATCACGTTGGTAAGGGTGCTTTTGGTAACGTTACTCTCTGGCGGCAAGCGGTTAATGTTACCGCAGCTAACGTTCATATCTTGGTTTTATAGGCGCTTTCACACCGGACCGGAGTACTTTCCCCCCCGAACTAGGGGGGAGGGGGGGGTAGTCTTAGTTTCTCCAACACCGTATATAATATGCTATAAGACAAAATGCGTCTATGATGTATTTTCGATCTTTCCAATCCAGACGAGAGATCTTTCTCTCCCCCGTGCCCCGTCTGTGTGCGAGGGGGCGGGGCAGTTTACACACAGGCGGCTGCTACATGCATTCAACACACACACGGCGGAGAGAGAACTAAGCGCTCCGAGGTGTGTTTATATGTTACCCGTCTTGAGGTGGACTCTTTGCCAAAAGTGAGAAATAATTGGTTTTGGCTATAGAATAGAATATTGTAGCGACCCGGTATAGGGTGCTGTGTGGGTCACTCAAGCATTCCCCGGTTCTCTGCCAACCACAGAGCGGCACAGTAATGCTGGTCAGGCGTGCGGGCCTGTGTTGTGTGTGTGTGTGTGTGTGTGTGTGTGTGTGTGTGTGTGTGTGTGGTGTGTGTGTGTGTGTGTGTGTGTGTGTGTGTGTGGTGTGTGTGTGTGTGTGTGTGTGTGTGTGTGTGTGTGTGTGTGTGTGTTGTGTGTGTGTGTGTGTGTGTGTGTGTGGTGTGTGTGTGTGGTGTGTGTGTGTGTGGTGTGTGTGTGTGTGTGTGTGTGTGTGTGTGGTGTGTGTGTGTGTGTGTGTGTGTGTGTGTGTGTGTGGTGAATTGCCTATTTATCGTACACATTGAGCTGATACAGAGCGACATGATCATACATTTGAAATGGTGTTTCTGTCCATCTGATAAGTCCAATATTCACTATCTTTTAGCTCTGTTTTTGCTCTCCACCAACTCCTTAGTAAAGTATTGGCTCTTTAGCTGCTCAATGTTCCGCTTTCCTCACCAGCTATTCTCTAACTATCTGTCTGCTGTTTGATTGTCTGAAGAAAACAGCTGCTGCTGGAATTGGGGTTTTCACTTTATACCTCAACATTTTACCCATTGTCAATTAAAAAAAGTATTAGCAAGGTTTAAACAACCATACAGCTTACAGGTCTAGTTTTAATTCCTTGCAATTACCTTAGATTAATAGAAATAATTTGGTTAGAACACACTGTACACTAATACACATCTCATCAAGGACTTGGTTAATGAGGTCAAAATGAGAATCTATCCTTTAATTATATAGTAGATACAAAATATCATTACACCAATGGCTGAATGTGCTCTTTGTCTTCTGTCGTTTTGTTTTTGCATAACAGATACATGCTGAATTCCAGCGCATAACAACTATCCCACTTGAAACGGCCTTCATGGCGCAGTTGGACAGCCATCTACCTCAGCTGACATCTGTCTTCCAGAAGAAGGAAGGAGTTGTTGGCCAGAAACTAGCCAAACATCTGGCGATTTTGCAAAAGGTAAATGTATGTATACACTGTTTTATACAAATTGTCATATACTCTGTGGAGCAATTTTATGAAATGTACCTGTCTAGTACCGTATAGAGCCCCATTTGCTTCACAACAGCCTGGATTACTTGCCAGGTGCAAGAATGCAAGACACTTTTCTTAGGAAATCTGATCTTAATAAGGCAATAGTGGCATACTGGTTAGAGAAGCAGGCTTGTGACTGTAAAGGTGCAAATTCAATCCCCAGGTGGGGAAAGTGAAAAAGCAGAACCTGCCTTGAGCAAGTCACTTAATCCTCAGTGGCCAACAGATCAGACTGTGTTTGTACTTGGCAGATTCCAGGTGTGAACTGTGAAGAACAGAGCATTGCTCTTGGTGAAAAGTCCCTGGATGAGTAGAATTAGTAAACAGTGCTATCGCCCTAACACATTCAGACCTCTGACATTGTAATACATTTAAGTCACAATTCTTTAACATACTTTAGTTAGGTCAGTCCATTTACATGTATAATGAAGTCATTGCAATATTGTTATTATTGATGTATTTATAAATATTTTAATTGTAATTTTTTTACACAGGCAACAAGTGATGTTAACCTTAAAAGGGAAGCAATCCTCAAGGCACTTTTCATCCACCTTGGTGAGGATGATGGACATCTCATTCGGGAGTATATGGTGAGTCATTGTAATTGCATTTGCCAGTCACATGTAGTGTTTTAAGATCCTAGTGTCAGGCATCAATTTTAGATAATTATTTTTTACCTTATAAGGAGCATGAAGGTTGAGCATATTTATATGTATGAATGTTGATATTCATCAACAGACTAAAGCATTTCAAACCATCACCTTGTTTCTTTATACGATGAGGTTGGCTTTATTCATTGTTTTTCTTATTGTCCAATGGAAAGACCATAATCAACAATGTCTTAGTCCACCTGTCAATCCTCTCTGACTTCTGACACTCATCACCAAGCGTATTGGGTCGTACGTAAATCTTTAAAAACACCTCACACATATTTAGTTTGATTCAGAAATATATATATAGTATGACCAGCTTTGTTTTAAGGGATTAATAGGTATGTGAGCAATATTACAAAAAATGTATAAGATAAAGTATGTCTTTAAAATTACATATATTGAATGAATACATGTTTTTTCTTTAAATATACAGGACATCGGAGGAGATGACGTCACCAGAGACCTGCAGAAATCTTCCATGGGCGTATACGTCATCAACAAGGATGGTGGAGAACCTGGACATTATGACGACGTTGGGATTTTTGTTGAAGGACTAATCATTCTGGACAACATTGGATCTGTAGCCCGAGCTTGTGCCATCATGCTGGGAGTTATCTATACACTGAACATGGAGCTAAGGTACTACTATGAATTCATTCAGAAAGTGCTCTTGCAAATGGATGGTGAAAGGCTTTCCCCCAAAGTCCTTGGACTGAAGAACAAGATACATGCTGGACTGTAGGATTTCTTCAGCCGCTCTTGTGAACCGATGCCACTAAAGCATTACAAAAACACCAGTCAAACCTCAAAGGTTGGGAGAAGAATGTGGAAATGTTGATGGACTTAGAAGACATGTATTACATGTATTAATGTGTGGAAGGTTATATTCTCCTCAGCTGTTTAAGTCACATGCTTTATGTTACGTCAGGATTTATTCGCTGTCTGTTTCCACTGCACTTTGTTGCATTTCGTTTTTATCGAAACGGCAACTTTTTCTACCTTAGCCAAGCGTAAAACATTTTATTTTTTATATTGGCATTTTACATCTAGTTCTGGAGAAGAATGTGAACATATTACATGTATTAATGTGTGGAAGGTTATATTCTCCTCAGCTGTTTAAGTCACATGCTTCATGTTACGTCAGGATTTATTCTCTGTCTTTTTCCACTGCACTTTGTTGCTGTCATGGCCTCCACCTCTGCCTAGTCTGTCTCTCCCCGTGCGTGTGTGTGTGTCCACAATCCAATCACCTCTGCTATAAGACTCCGGCCCTGACTCCTCCACTTCGCCATATCGTAGACTCTGTAACCACAGTCAGTCACGTCTCCTGTGCCTGCAGCTTCAAGCCAGCCTGACTCCTATCCTGTCTCCAGACCACCTCCAACGTTGGACCCTGTCCCGCTCCTCCAGGCTCTTCTCCCTGCACTCTCCAACCTGGTCAGACCTCCGTTTCCTTGGACTCCGTCTAGCTTCCCTGGCTCAGACCCCCCTGCCCAGTAATATTCAATAAACGTTATTATTGTGCTTGAAACTCCTGCCTCCTGTCTCTGCTCTGCTCCTGGGTTCCCTGCTAGCCTTAACAGTGGCCAGATTGTACTGTTACTGTTAACGTTTATTGAATATTACTGGGCAGTAGGCAGGGGGGTCTGGGCCAGGGAAGCTAGACTGAGTCCAAGGGAGAGGGGAACGGAGGTCTGACCAAGTTGGAGAGTGCAGGGAGAAGAGCCTGGAGGAGCGGGACAGGGTCCAACGTTGGAGGTGGTCTGGAGACAGGATAGGAGTCAGGCTGGCTTGAAGCTGTAGGCACAGGAGACGTGACTGACTGTGGTTACAGAGTCTACGATATGGCGAAGTGGAGGAGTCAGGGCAGAGGTGATTGGATTGTGGACGCCACACACACACGGTGGAGGCCATGACAGTTGCATGTTGTTTTATTCGAATCAGAAGATGTTTCGTGTAAGACACATGCTTCATGTTACCTCATTTTGTACAAGATAATAAAGTAAGAGTATGTATCAAATATGTTTGTTTTTATTTTAATATATTGAAAGTTAACATAGTAATAATGGCTGAAAATGTTTAATTAAATTCAACTTAATTTTTGTATGAAGAAATTAAACTTGAATTGATCTGAATGTACAAAAAGAAAAAAGGTTACTGTTACATAATCCATTTTAGTATACTTAACATGGGTTTAGTGAGTAAATTCTACTCGGAATAGTTGAGGTGAAAATTATCAGTATAATTAAATTGAAATTACTCAAAAATAATAAGTACAGTGAACTTAAAAAAAAAATCTGGATTTAGATAACTTTCTTTCGTGCAACCACTTACCTTAAAGCTCCCATGTCATGCTTTTCCGGTTATTACCCGTCCCCTTGTGTGTTATGAAGGTTTTTATGCATGTAAACGGTGTGCAGAGTCAAAACCCTCAAAGTACACCCTGTAGCGAGTAAAACTCTAACACAGAAAATACCTCCCCAAAACGCCTCGTTGGAGATACGTCACTGCCCATTTGATTCTTCCGGGTACCGCATGATGTCATGCGGTACCCGGAACGAAATGGACCAATCCCGAAGAGCTATGGCCACACCAGCAGCGGCGTGTTCCTCCTCCAGAGGTTCGAAGAACCGGCATTTCACAGACGAAAGCTTCCAAAACATTGCCCAGTTTGAGGCCGGATATGCACAGCTTGTTTGGACCGTTTGGAGCAGGGGAAGATCTGGGTATACAACCTGTAAGTTTGCATTGTTATTTGTGTATTTATCAAACAAGACTGTTTAAATGTGTAAACTGTGTTGGACTGCTAAGCCATTGACACAGTGCTAACTGTGCTAACTAAGTTGCTAGAGTTTCCATATATCAACTCTAATATCAGCAGATGGCCTTGCATACATGTATCTCATAGCAGGAGAATGTCTGCATTCACACACAAAATACCTATTGACAGTATACTGCGGGTGATTTGCCGGTCAGTCGCGAAACGTAATTACATTATAGCTGGCGTAGCGATCTAACACACGGAGCACTAGTTTTGGTCAGAAAAACATTTTTGTGATGCTACGTTGCTAGCGTTTAAATATATCAACTACAATGTCAGCAGATGGCCTTACATGTTTGTCATGGCAGGAGAATGTCTGCAGTCACACACACGGAATACTCATACAGTATACTCCGGTTTACCGTACATTGTGACCGTACATATACTGCATGTAGCTAACGAGGCTAGCTGTATGCTAGCGCAAAACAATGTATTCATGCAAGTTACATTGTATGGTAGCAGAATACCCGTATACGATTGCAATTATAAACACGTTATTGCTAGCCTAATATGAACCACTAGCTTTTGTTCATAGTAGTTTTATTACACTGCATTATAGTTGCCTTTCCTCCAAGCTAACGTTCATATCGTGTTAGCTACCAAGGTAAACAAAGCTAGGTTAGCATATTAGCAGGCAAGCTGTTCATTACACAACTACTACTAACGAATCTAAAACAACTAAGTTTCTCTAATATTTTGTGATTTGCATTTGATTTCGTCCAGCCAGATCCTGGCGGACAATCCATGACGGGGAAGGGATTCTACTACTACTGAGGCCTCGTGCTAAAAGGCACCGCACCGCACCGGCTGTGCGCAGGCAAGAGGAGGAGGAATGGATGATATACCGTGTATATATGTATATTTATGTTCATTTTGTACATTTCTAAAAATAAAGTTTAATGGAAATACTTAGTAGGCCTATCCTTTCTTCCCTGAATTCATATATAGCAAACCATGATTTGATTTCTCATCAAACAGTAGTAGTTTATAACGGGTAAAAATAACTTACTCTTTGTTATGAGAGTAGCTCGTAGGCCACAACGGAAAGACAAGGAGACATACACGAGTTTACAAAACCACGGCACATTTATTGTGATAAATGCAGAGACAGGTGGTTGAGAGGATCGCAGAGTTAGTCTTCCTGCAGCCGCTTTGGAGAGAGACTGGGGCCGTAGTGTCCGGAGGTGTCCGTGATCGTGCTGATTAGCCGCTTCAGCTCCACCCCATCGTAAGACAAAGGCCCTGGGGCCGTCACACTCTTCTATAACAACAGTTAAAAATATATATGTATATAAAATATACCGCTGTACCGACGCCATGATAAGACTGATGTTACGCTGAGAGCAGCCGGGAAAAGCACTGACATGGGTGCAGCCTCTCTGGTGGTTGACTAATCAGAACGAGTGGCCGAGCTGACCAATCGGAGCACACTAGGCTCACAGGGAGGGGGGGGCAAGAGCTCCAACGAGTCGTTTAGTGGAGAAAGTGAATACTGCTGAATACACATGCTTGACAGAGATGCTGTATGCGAAACCAATGTGAGTTTGGAAAATTGCACAGTATAAATCTATTTTAGTATACCTCAACAATGTAATTATGATCAGTGGAAATGGCCATGACATGGGCCCTTTAATAAAATTAAGTAAATTCAACATAACAATTTTTTCAGTGCACATACACACTCCCTCCCGGTCCTCCCGATGGCCAGTCCGGGTCTCCCGGTGAGCGTGGAAGTGTGGTCTGCCACAAGCGGCAGTAAGAGCGGCGCTGTCAGCTCAGCTGACAGCCCCGCTGTAACGTAATGTAAACTCTGTGGAGGAACGGGGGGTCTATTTGCAAACTTTCAGGAGAGGCTCTATGATGTCACCGATGATGTCATCACATTCCGCATGACATCATGGCTGATAACGTTGTCACTGATGAAGACATCCCATTATTTTAAGCTTTTAAAATGACATCACCGATGCAGAATGCGATGACATCATCGGTGACATCACAGAGACTCTCCTGAAAGTTTGCAAATAGACCCCCCGTTCCTCCACAGAGTTAACGTTTTTTGACGATGCCAAGCAAACGCAGACAAGCCGCTCGCCCCGTGCGCAGACGCAGGAGACCTCAAAGAAGTCCCTGGCTGCTCGCAGACGCAAGAGAGTGGTCCGACGCAGACGCTAAGCAACGACAGGAAACATGTAGTACAAGCCTTTAAAAAGGTTATGCCTTTTTAAAAGCTTGTGCTACATTTTTAATGGTCCTTATGACCATTGCAAACTTTCAAGTTGAGGCTTTATGGCAGGGGTCTGCAACCTTTTTGACCAAAGGTGCCACAACCCTTTTCCACAATTTCTTTTGAAAAAAAAAAAGATATATATATATATATATATATATTTATTTTAAAAAGTTTGCAATAGTCATAAGGACCATTAAAAATGTAGCACAAGCTTTAAAAGGAAAACCTTTTTAAAAGCTTGTGCTACATGTTTCCTGTCGTTGCTTAGCGTCTGCGTCGGACCACTCTCTTGCGTCTGCGAGCAGCCAGGGACTTCTTCTGAGGTCTCCTGCGTCTGCGCACGGGGCGAGCGGCTTGTCTGCGTTTGCTTGGCAGGTGGGGAAAGTGAAAAAGCAGAACCTGCCTTGAGCAAGTCACTTAATCCT